GAGTACCTTATGTTTATTTTCTCACTTTTTGCAGTTTTACAGAATATGTGTTAACATTGTGGTACACTGACCATAAGCTACAGCAGCTGAAGTCCTCCCACGATCCTTTGGCTGTATTATTTTTTTACTGTGACAATGCATTTTTTTGTTCAAACAGACAGGACGCTTTGCATCAAATGTAAGAGAATATTTTATACAACTAATCAGTTTCTCTCCTTTCAAGATAAATAAAATAGCTTTTAAAGGATTTATGGTTTGCAATTTCCTTTCATTTAGGTGAGAAGGTGACTTCATGTGGTAATAAAGTATGGTAATGGTGTGGGCCTACAAGAAGGCTGGAGAGGGGCTTTTTACAAGGGCGTGTAGGCATAGGCCAGGTTGGATGGGGCTTTGAGCAACCTGGTCTACTGGAAGGTGTCCCTGCCCATGGCAGGAGGGTTGGAACTAGGTGATCATTAATGTCCCTTCCAACCCAAACCATTCTGTGATTGTGTGATACTGTGTTGTCCTCCTGCATCACACTTGACCATGATTCTGCAGTTGGTACAAGCAGGGGTCACTCCATCTCCAGTGACTGATTCTGTCTTGTTGCAGACATCCAAATACTTACACTGTTGGGCTTGTAGTTACCTTCAGAAGTTTCTGAAGATATTCTGGAAATCTTGTTCTCCAGGCCTTTTGTTCTAGGGTCACTGTTGGTAATGCTTTGGACAGACACAGGCCAGCATTGTGTTCTGTGTCACCCTTGCTGAGGTGCCTGAGGCAGTCCTTCAAAGAAGCTGGAATCCCATCATTTCACCACCTTGCTTTTCATAATTCATTCTTTCACTCAGACTGCTGGAAATAGGCCAGGATGTCAAAACTCCAGCATAAGCCACACTGCCCTTCTGGGCTGGATGTCTAGCCGTGGGCATGTCAGTCCTGCAAGCTCCCTGGGTTGCCTTATTGGAGTCCATAGGTGCCTGTGACTCATGGCTCTACTGAGCCTGCAGTGCTATTTATAGCATCAGTGCTCAGGATACTGTGTGGAGTACAAAGTGCACAGGCTCATGGGCCAGTCCCTGCCCCCTTCTACGAACACATTTTCAGAGTCTTATTTTTAAGCAGATAAATCTCCAAATAAATGTGTATGGAAACTATCATATTTGGAAATAGTACAGTGTTGGAGAGTGCCTTTCTTATAGCAAGACCTTCTATTCAAAATGGCCTACAATACTGAAATGTGACTTCGGGGAAAAAAAGAAAATGAGCATTCAGAGCAGAGGAACTGGATAGAAAATGTGACAGGCAATTTAGGTAGCGGTAAGGCAATGGTGAGGATTGCATTGCTGGTCAAACTCTTCCTCTGTTTGCTGTGGAGGAACATGTATTTGTGGAGATCGGTCTCTACCTGAGCGCCCTGTATGTAAAATGTGTGAGATGAATTGGCTTTGCCAGTGTAGCCACCTCAAGTGGGATGAGCTGACTCTGAGCCTCCTCAATTGCCATTATAGACCTTGATCTCCTCCTGCCATCCCCCATTTCCAAATGCTGTTTGTTTTTACGTGTCACAGGAACTTATTTCTCTGCATTTGACTTGCAGGTGAAGAATTTTGTGATCACTCAGCGCTAGTCCAGAGAGGCTGTCATAAATAGCAAGTTCCTCACAGACACTGGAACAGAAATAGGCAGTGTATAAACTGTGTGTTTTGAAGTACAGGAGTGGCTGCAGAAGATACCTATGTCAGATGTGAAACAGCTCTGGGATACTGGTGCAAAGTACAAGTTGAAATACTTTAAGGTGTAACAGATAAGCTGGTCATAATGTACCTTTGCTTCAGAAACAGTTATTGGTGTTTTGAAGACAGTTTTATTACTCACTAAGTCACCAGGCCATTAATTGCTTTGAAAGGTAGAAACACAGTTATGCAAGTACTCCAGCTTTTTCTTGCAGGACCCAGTTTTCTTTCTGCTTCAGATGCTTTATCTGGTGGCAGTTATTTCTAGAGGAACACAATTATATTATCTCTGGTTTGTTTCTTTTTCTCCCTACTACTCCATGATCAGCTCATTTTACACATGTCAGGCTCGCACTCATAGTTTAAGTATTATGGCATTTTTATTAATGGTCTATTAAAATCAGGCAAGTTTATAGAGAAACAAGAAATCAAAACATATTTCTGCATCATTAGGTGGCAGCCAATGAATCCTGTCTCTGTGGGGTAAAGAAATGCTTTGGAAAGCCCATGGCAATTGTTTAGCTCATGTAAACCCAGCAGTTCACACAACTACTGGGCACTGTAACAGAACTCTACTGGAGGGTACTGGTTGTGATGCAGTGCTGACTCTTGGCTTCAGTGACTCAAGAGAACCATTAAATGACCCTATCACTGCCTGTAACTTCTTTTTGTTTCAAATTCCATTTGATTCAGGAAGTTATCCACCTGGTTCCGTTTCCGCAAAGTGGAACATCCCTCTTTAAACCTCGGGTACAATTTTTGGCTGTGGTGTCCTAAACCAGAACAATACTTGCATATTTAAACAACTCATTACATATTTAACCTGCAAGATACACAAACATGAGTCTGTGGCAGACCGTCTCACAATGGTAAAACGCATCCCTAATTTCTCCTACAAGGACCCATGATTTGGTTCTAAGCACGTTTGTATGCACACATCCACATTTAACCACCTAAGCCAGGGTGTTCTTTTAAATATTGACCTTTAAGTGCCAAGGAAAGTGCATGCAATGAAAGTTTAAAAAAATTAATAAATCAGTGTCCCTATCAATGTAATGCTGTCACACCCAGGTCAGATGATACACACTGCATGAATAAAAGCCAACACTGACCCACTGCATCTTAAGAATCATCCTCAATCAGTCCAGAGATACTTGTTCTCAAAGTTACAGCCTTTGTCAATTACTCTGAAACTGCAGTGAGGTTTTAATGTGTACAAGTAGGTTGGAAATTATGAGCAGGAAGGAAATATATTGAAAAAAAAAACCCAGTGGCACTGTTGGCTATATTAAGCCAAAAATGCCTTGCTAAGAAAGCATGCAATTTGCAGTACAGTTGTGGTTGAACTACTGGTTTTGAAGTTGAGCCAGCTTGAGAGAGTGGCCTTGCTTCCCTCTGCTGTCACTCCATGGAACGGTGCCTCTATGAAACTACTGAGCAGAGAATGTTTTTAATCAGACCTCAGGTTAAAAACAACCATTTCACAGTTACAGGTTTGGTTCTTTAAGTAAGAGAGACCTTTTGTAGTCCATATATTGGGAAGGCCAGAGTGATGGCAAGGGGAATGGGTGCCCAGCTGGTTCTGTTTCCTGGTGAGGTTGGCTGCATACCAGTGCAATGCCAGTACAAGCTGGTAGCTGGCCACCTTCTTTCTGCGTTGCTGCTATAGCTACGAAAATGCTGGCAGGTGAACCTGGCAGTTCTTGAGTGCTGAAAGGGGCTGATTTACTTCAGCCTCCCTGGCCTAACCAAAATACCTGGAATTGCCCAGCCTTGGCTTAGGTAGAATTGCCTTGTGCTTATGCTATATATTATATGCTGGGCTATAGTATACAAGGTTTACAGCAAGGCTGTGCCCTGCCACGGTACTGTTCCACTGTCTGTGGGCCTGAGTGAAGTGCTATTCAGCACCACCCTACAAAGCTAATCTCCAGGGAAGTTGTGGTTTTGATGAAACTGCATTATTTGCTGGAAAGTTTTCAACCAGTTCTGTTTGAATACGAAATACTGACACAGCTGCTGAAGTATGGACCTCGGCTGCTGGAGGAAGTTGTACTAATCACTGAGAGGGTGGCAGGAGCACTTGTTAGCAGGAGATGATCCAGTATATTCCTAATGAAAGTGAGGTAAAAGTCTCAAACACAAGTAAATTTTTACCACAGAGTTTTCCAAAATAATTTGCTTATGTCTCCCTTCCTAAGTAAATTCTGCTGTTTGGATGCCTTGCCCTTCCACTCACACCCGCAGGGACTGACGTGAAGAGAGGCACTACTCACTACTCATCTTGTCTTAGGACATACTTCTCCTTTTCCACCTCAAGAAACAGGATTATTTGAGAAGAGATCCTCCAATACAATAACAGTTATTTCTACTTTAGAAATGAGGAAATGAGGCTGCAATCATTTAAGGGAATTAGGTTCTTAGAAACCACACTTAAGGATTAGAAAAAGTCATCGAACGATTCTGTGGCACAGCAAGGATCTGATGACAGGTCACAAGACTAAGTATATCAGTGAACTGAGCCTGGACACCCAGCTTTTTACCTTCTCCATTTGTAAAATGCCTCAAAAGGCTCTTAAGGCCACTTCATCAGTCAAAATATAAGAGAAATAATTTCTTGAGGGTCAGTTCACAGTTATCTAGTAGAAAAATTCAAGTAAATGCTTCATAAACTCAGTGTCTTCTGTAAGGGGGCAGACTTCCCTCTGTGCAACAGTGGGTGGGGGTGTCAACTCACTTTAGTCTGTTAGAAATTAAGCGTCTACTCTGCCTTAGCCATCTGGTCCCCTTGATGAGCAGTCCTGAGAGAGGCAAGTCCAGAGGGCAGCTCTTACCTCGAACAGGCCTGTAAGGTAAGTGGTATGGTACCTCCCAGCACTGAACAAAGGAGAACTTGAACCAATGTATTTGGACAATGTGTCCTTATTGCCACATGGAAAATAATGTTAGTTCCACTCTTATGATTTAATTGTAAGACCCATTTTACCACTTCAAAACTCTCTTTTCCCCCATCTTTCTTAAGGTGGTTTAGCTGGGGATAGATAGTAAAACAGGAAAACAAACCTCACGTGGAACTTTTTTTTGGATTTCTTTTGATAACAAGCAAACAGGTGGCCTTCTCAGTACCAAAACACACAGGACAATAATTCACGTGCAGCCAAATACTGTGGATGCTTCCTGGCCCACTGGGGTGCCAGGGAACATGCCTGGTGTAATGGAAAGGAAGATGTTTTTCATTCTGTAACAATGGTCACAAGTGCCAGGAACTCAAAACTTGTAATGTCCAGCTCAAGCTCTTCATGGCTTATGTACTTATACTCCAAATACACACCAAGTGAGACACATCCTCCTACCAATCAGAAAGCCTCTTATCCTAAACAATTTATATTCATCATATGTTCAGAAAAACAAGTTTGTATCTATCTTCACCATATGATAAACCAGGCAAGCAGCAGCCCATTATGGCATATTAACATAGTTTGGTTGATAAAAATATACTATGACAGTTTTAGCAGCAAACAGGTCAGTGTCCAAATACAGGTCATTTAAAGAAAAAACAAACTCAGACAAGATGACAGCTTAGTTTGCTTGACTCTAAGTGGGAGAGGGCTGTTACTGCATTACATTTTTGTTGTTAAATTCTGACTGTTGGCAATGAACTCTCATCACACATCTATAATGTAACCACTTTTACAAAATCTGTACATTAGTGGACTTCTACACATTTCCTAAGCTGATGGACACCGAGTCTTTCTTTCCAAACTTTTGCACCTTCTGACCATGGATCCAAAGGAGATGTCTTTCCAGCAGGGAAAAGGATACGCTCCTCAGCAGGGTGGTAGTCAGACCTCAGTTTCGGAATGCTCCCACTCTGCTTGCTTTGCTAATGAAGTTTTTCAGGAGGTCGTGGTCCATTTCAGCAAAGCCTTGAGTTTGTGTAACAACAGTTAAATGGTTTATGCAAAATCTGAAGCAAAATTCTTCCAAGTCCTAGGAACAAATTGAGGTAATTTGTAATATGAATGACTGAGAGCAAAATTATTTTTTTTTGTCAGTTTAGATCTGTCATTCAATTAGCAGAGAATATCCCAGATTGTTCACAATACCAATCCCTTTTCTCATCAATTTGATTGGATCATAAATGATAGGATGAAATTTGTTCATACAAACTACTCAATAACCCCCCTCAATAACCAAGAAAACAGGATTAACCACCTGAATTGACCCTAGAACTCCATCACATTTCCTGAGCTCATTAGAAAAGTTATTAATAAGGGAAACCATCAACTTTCCCCAGATACTAGAGCATCAGTGGCTCCTTTCTTTTCCTCCCTGCACTGAATACAGTAGCTGTCCTATGAACAAGGGCAGATACCCTAGTCTTGCTGAAGATAAAAGGAAAATATGGTGTAACATTTGATGATGCTTACTGAACACAAACAGAATGGTAGGATACAAATGTCTTTCTTGGTGAACCCAGGATCTGTGTCCCCCTATCTAGAAACTGGGACTCCTAGATGGTGAAAATGATTCTGTCTTGTCCTCATCTTGCTGCAGCAGGATGTTCAGATATGCAGCACAGATATAAGCTGTTAAGCCATACAACCATGATTTCACACAGTAAATTTCGCCCACTGAAGACTCCTCACAACAGTGGCAGTCCTCCTTTCCATGCACTGGGTCAATCCCCTTTATCTGGTTCCTACGCAACAACCTACTGCCTTCTGCAGCAAGCAGAGCTGGAGCCACCAGCAAGGCAAGCCTAAATTGGAAGTATGATCCATGACCTATCAACTCTTCAAGGGTTACAGCAAAAAGAGGTCTCTTAATCCATGTCATTTTTATTCTAACCTAACTATACAGACATTACAGCCAGGGATGGATACTACAAAGACATTTAGCAGAAAAACTGTGTATTTCCCTTTAAAATCTCTTCCTTAGATTGTTTCAAGTCTATTGCTCCTGTCAAGATGTAACTAAAGCTTTAACAGAGACCAGGCAGCACAAAATATCCTTCAAAAGAAGTAAGGTAGCAGCAATGCACAGAAGTAAATTGTCTCTCTCCTCAAAGAGTACTGGAAAAGCAAGAAAGGGAAGGTAAGTAAAGAAGAAATTAAAAACTTACAAGAAATAAAAAAACAAAGTAAAAGGTCAAAGACATCGCTTAAGTTTCAGCAGACACCTGAAATGCTACTGCCACACCTGAGCTGCTTTACAGTCAATGTGTGAACTTTTACAGTAAACTAATATAACACCAGCTGCCTTTTCTGGTGCTGATCTATGAAGAGGACCATAGATACTATAGAATCCCGGTCACTAATTTTGCAGTTTCAAGAAATACTGGGTTTTAATTCTGTTGTATAGAGATGATTAAATTTTCTACAGTGCTGTATAAGAAGTATGCTTTAAAATAACTTGTAGTGTTCACATTTAATGAACAATTAACTCTATCCTTTCAAACTTCAAAAATATTAGGCCATTTTCATAATTATTCTTTGGGCAGTTTTTTTACTGAAGTGCAGATACACTGCACATGGTTCTCAAAACAGTTTTTACTATATTAATGTAGTACCACTGTAAGACCCCAGCTTACTTCATGATTCCTTAGACAGAGACTATCCGATGTCTTTGATAAAGAAGTCTTTGCTGCACTTCTCTGAAGCAGTTTTACTACAGCCCTGCCTGAACTGTGGCTGTAGGAAGGAGGGCAACAAGGCACTTTTGTGCCTTGCTGCCATGTGCCAAACTCCTCAGTTTGGCAGATGCTACACCTGGGGCAGGTGAACCAATTCATCATCCAGTGATTGTGTTAAAATGTTACATGTTTTGAAACAATACTAGGTGTACAGAATAAAACACTGAATCATAGAAGGAAGAGGAGGGTACCACGCATTTAGTCATCTAGCCAATCCCTTTTATTGTGCTTCAGCCATTATAAACTCTAGTACTTTGTCCTGGCTAGTTCTATTACTTCACAATACACCTAAATGTATCTTTAACTACTTTTAAACTCCTTTATATGACACAGGTCAACCAAAAGTACTTCTGCTTTGAAGACATTCAAAACTGTTGAAAAGCCTGCAAAGGGAGAAACTCCAAAGTAAACATTGAATGAAAACTGCTGTTAGGAGGTTCAAACCACCGTGTCTTCCCTTCCTGTCCAGTCTTTTTTTGTATGCTGGGCTTCTACCACCACAACACACTGAAAGTACAGTTTCTCTTTGCCTCAGCTGTTCATGCCTTCCTGATACCTTGGTTACAACTGCCTTGTAACCAGCAGCTGATAATCTTATTATCTACTAATCTTTACGAAACTCTCTTTCAGACTCCTGTTTGCAAGCCCTACACAAATTTATCTCTTCTAGTACGCTGCCTACACGCTGACTACTGCAACGTTTTAAACTCAGTTTTTACTTCAGTCCCTTCTTTCTACTTGCTTCCTGTACCTGGAACTGTTTATCAAGCCATTGTATTATACTTCTAGCCTTTCCTCCTTTAAAACTTCACCCTACATTTCACAGCCAGGCAAAAGCAAAAAATCTAAGTATGTTTAAAAAACATTGTTACTAGCTACAAATTTTGGCTTTTCCAATAGATAATCTTCTGTTTGTAAAGCAGGAGAAATGTCAAACAGAAAGATCTGGATTGTTAACTAAAATACTCAGTTATAATAACAGTTACTAAGCTTAGAATACATATGCAGACTTCTTAAATAATAAAATCCACCATACATTATTTCCACAATCAGCACAACACTAAGAAGTTGAGAAATGTAAAACAACTTTGAAAGTATTTGTCTGTTTACGAAAACAGTGCTTGCAGTACTGCTGATAACAGGTTGAGTGCTAGTGAAACATTCCAGAGCCAAGGGCAGACCAGAAGACAGGATACAGGGAGAGGAATAACAATAGGTAATTTGTTGAATGTCAGCATGATTCATTGTAAACAACATGGCAAAAGTGGATTTTTTTTTTTTTTTAATATAAGCACAAGTGTAAATAAGGAAGGGCTTTACAAGTAAATTCTCCCACTGCCTGTAAAAGGTGGTACCAGAATGACTGTAGCAGATGCCTGCAGACAAAATGATTCGGCGGCGAACTCGGGAAGCAAACAGGCAATGCAAAATCCAAAGGTGGAGAAGTGAACGGCAGTGAGAAATTTGCACGCCATGCCATGCCATGCCAGATGACAAGGCAGGAAGCACATTAAGAATCCTGACTTACAAGTGCAGGCCAAAAGGCCAGGAAGAAAACACTAGTAGCTGCAATTTTCTAATAGCTTAAAATGGGAGAAACAAACATCTGGGAAGCCAGAAAGGGCAACTGCAGTAATTGTGCCTCATCAGTGAAATCTAAAACAGTTTCATTTCTCAGAAGACAACTGTTTGCCTGAAGAGAAGTTCTCCTTACCTGAGCTTCATATTTGACAGCTGCAGAAAGAAGAGCAATGGCATTCTCTTCACAAATGCCTTGTTTGATCGTTTGCTGGCAAAGCTTTTTCAATCTGTTTTCTCTATACAGTGTTGCCAAATCTAGCAGTCCTGTGAAAATTCATACAGCTTTAACTATCCTGGTGCAAAACTTATTAATTTATTTCCAAATTAATTAGTTACCCTGTTGTTATAGGCTGAATTAATCAAAGACTTACTCTATTTTTTTCCCCTAAATGAAATGTTCATTTTTAAAGGTCCTCAAAAGACATCAAAACCGGACCTTTTTATTACTCTGTGAGTGTTCTGTCACCTTGTTCACTGTATTGTATCTCACTGTAGGTATCAATTAGTGACTTCCAGGGGACAGCTCCCTTTTCATTCATGATCAAATCACCACAGCTACTCAAACTGAAGAGTTTTAGGGGTTTCTTGCCTTTTTAAGGAGAAAAGAAAGTTCTTAATATGAGGAAACAATGAGTTCTTTTTGAACATTTTGCATTTTTGATCTCACTGCATTCCCACCACTCATTCTCCTTGGGCATGTTTCCTGCTACTGCATTCCTTCTTCCTGACATCTGACAAACTCAAGATTTAAGTGCTAACAAACTAAAATTAACAAGCCCTGCTTTCCTTATCCTGTTATGACATACAAATTGAACTTTTCAGAAACCGTAACCTAGGGTTATTTCCATTTATGGCAAATACCTATTGCATCTTCAGGAGGGAGCCTAATGTTGTCTGTATACAGGTATTCCAGGAAGGCTCGGTAAACAGGATAGGAAAATTCACTCATTTCTATAATTTCATCATCATTACTCAGTATGGAACGAAAATGTTCACACCTACAAACATGAACAAAGATTGTATGCTGTGAGAGTTAAGCTTGAAATATGAGCTGCAGCAAGAATTTAGTAAAAAAACCAAATCAGTCATAACACACTAAATACACAACCATAAATTCTAGCTACATGATTTCTTAGTTTTAGCATGTTAATTTTTTTAAGCCTTATAAGGCTTGTAAGCTTTATAAATATGTAATTCAGAATATTCCTTTATTTCTGTTATTAGTATTTTATGGTAGGCTCCATTTCTACTTCCAGTATCCTTAAGGATGGTCTGTGTGGTTTTGATGTAATTTTCTTAAATATGTTATACATTAACTGTGAATTTTATTACCTGACTCATAGCAGATAAAGCTTACAATTAATTCAGACAATTCTCACATTTCAAACTGTTTTCTCCAACATGACCTGGTGAGGAGGGAAATTATTAATACTCTAGATACTATTTATTCCAGTCTCAAGAGTCCATATAGGATTTAGACTTAACCATTATACGTAAGAATTAAAAAAAATATTTAAGGTTAAGACATCCTCATCCAGATCTTTCACCACCGTTTCCTTCTAAGTCTGAATACTTTTGTGACAGACAAGATAGAAACAAGGAAAAAGCCTTGCCTTTGACAGCTGTACTGCAACTTACAGTTCACAGAACTTACTACTCCCTAAGAAAACTCTTGTAACATTTGCATTGTTTGCAACACTTTGCAAGGTAAATGAACACCATCACCTCAGTTAGCTTTTCCTACAAGAGCCACAACTTAATTGGACTCTTTTGTACTACACTACTTACTTTCAAACTCTCCTGCAGCAGAATGTGCTTTTCTTTTACTAAAACTTTGGTGTAAAAGGTAGGTTAGTTTCCTTTTAACATCTCTGGGATAAGTCTACATTGGAAAGACAGCATTACTCAAATACAAAGACATTCTTTATCACTTAATTTAACTTCTTCATATTTGATCTTAATTTTTTCTTTTTTTTTTTAAAGAACTTTATCTCAGTATTACATTTTTTTAATAAAATAAATAAACCTCAAGTCAAATCCATAAAAAAATTAAAAACTCATTATCTAGCTTCTGCCATATCTTTTACCACATTGTGGCATTGGAAGAGGCAGACCAAACCCAACTGCTTTGTCTCCCAGAGTCTCAGGTTAAGTAGTGGTGACCATGCTATCCATCCAGCTGTGGAGCAGACACTGGGAATGGTCTGTTTTCCCAGTGGGACCACACAAAAGTAGGAAGTCAGAGAGAAGGTGGTGCCATTGCGCTCTCAAAAAATAAATGAGTAAATAAATAAAAATCAGTTGGTACTTATCCTTAAGCCTGCAAAACACCTTGGAGTGACTCATCCTTTGGAGTGTCGCTCTCCCTCTATCTCTCAGCAGAGACAGACCAGACACCTCATTTTGGCTGGTTAAATGGAGAGTAGGCAAATCCCACCCAAATACTCAAATGTATCTGTTTCTGCAGACATGTTGCTTGCCCAGCCCCTCAGTGAACTAGGTGTTGCCCAGCCGTTTCACCACCATGGCAAGGTAATAACCACCAACAATATGATCTAGCTCAACAGCAGGCAGAGAACAAGATGGAGAAAAGTTTTCATGAGTAGTAAAGAAATGGCTGGATGATGAAAAGGAACTTTTACCAGCACTACATTCATTACAATGCTCTGGAACAGGCTGAATGCTGCAAAATAGCATTTTAAATACATTATCCTCTGATCCAGTTGCATCATGAGACTACAAGGCTTAAAGAAAATATTAATAATTCTGTAGACTGTGCCTGCATATTATTTTGACAATGCCCTACATTTAAATCCATTTCACAATTAGACTCACATTTTCTTCCCACAATGCCATATAATGCGAGAAAAGTAGAGTGGGCAAAAAGGAACAAGGAAAGTTACATGTAGTCTGATTATCAGAAAAAAGAACCCCAGAAACATTCTGGGGATACACAAGATTTGAAGTGGTATCTGATGAAGTGGTATCTGACAGATGTCATTGCAAAGACAGTGGACTACAGGCATGAGTGTAATATACAAGCAATGATACCAGTAAAGGGAAGAAAACAGTAATAAATGTAAGTGCAGTAGTAAGAGGAGAACAGAAAAGAGAGGAAAAAAAAAAGCTGTAAAACAAACAAACAAAAGCCAGCTTAAAATTCAAATTCACCGATAAAACAAGCAGGATAAGAAGTTTGATAAAAAAAGGAAAATCTGAAAAGCACCTACAAAAGTTGCTGAAACAGCTGAAGGGTCCTGTTGAAGGAAAGAAAGGCAAGAATAGACACAAAACCCTCAAATCATCCCAGTGGAGGAAGCTAAGCAAATGAAGGAGGAAAAACTGATTCAAACTACTGGGAAGGCAGCAGAAAGAAGAGAGTCTTTTCCTCAGCAGAAAAAAGTTATTAGAAATCAGGGTCAAGGCCATTTAGGTAGCATGAAAGAGAATACATGTTGGACAGAGGGAAGTGATGAAAAGGCTGGTAGTAAGCAGCATGTTTCAAAATTCCAAGCAGCAAGGAAATGAAGAATAGAGAGTAACAGTGAAAGAACAGCAGGTGAATCCCAGGACTGAGGGAAAAGGGAGTTTGCAAGAGTAAGTCAAGAATTTTAAGCAGTAGTTACTCAGCACAGTAGACTATACTATCCAGTTTAGTTTGTATTTAACTATAGAGTTTGTGCCTTACCTAATTTTGAGAAGAACTTTATGAACATGAATGTATTTTCCATCCACTAGAAACTTCAGGTCTGCAGTTTCAGGGTTATCGAATTCCTTCTTTAGTGACTGGGCTACCGTTAGATGGTCATCAGGCTCTAGAATAAAAAGGGGGATTAATAGTAAATGGTAAGTAACACACAGGTATCTCTCATGATAACATGCCGGATATCTGTCAGCCATTAACACTCTTGATAAATACATCTCTGTAAGGCTAGTAATAAAACCCAGCAGACTATGTGTTCAGTGTGAACCCTCAGAAAAGCAAATAAAGGATAGTTTTCTTCAAGCCTTACTATGTCTCTGTTAAAAAAAAATTCCAATTCCTCTAAATCATCTATAAAAGATCAGAAAAAGAAAATTAACACAGTCTCAGAAGTTTAATGCTGCATCTAATAGCAAATGCTATCAGGCATCACTGGGTAAATTATTCTAAATTAAAAATGATAGTTATTCTAAGATACCTAAAAGGTCACCTGCCCAGTACAATATCCCCAATGGTAAATACCAGCAGTTACAATTCTATACAAAAAGTGTTTTCCCTAGACTTAGGGTATTAGAAGCACTCCATGTGAATGTCTGCATATTCCTGTTTGTGTCAAAGGTATTTCCCACTGTGCATGACACTTGCATTATGAAGTTACCAGATATCCTTGAAAAGCCATCTGTTGTCTGCATAAAAATTTTGATTTCCCGACTGTTTTTATCATATTTAGTAGCCTCAGAGAACTATTTTCTTTTACAGTACTAAAAAATAAGCCACCTCCCAAACCTCATTCTTAACCCAGAAAACATTTTGCCTTCTTACCATATAAATACACAGTATTGGTTTACTTGTGGGTCAGTAATAAGCTGTTCCCTACAAAAAATTACATGAATGCTAAGTCCTACAACCTACCAAGCTAGAAGAAAGAATAATATTCTACTGGAAATGGAAAGACCTTCACCATAAGCTCTAGAAAAAAATTAACACTTGGATAGTGTTAACCTTTGTTAAGCACAATTACTTTTCATTTCATTTAAATGATATCACTTATGTTCAGGTTTACCCAATTTGGGCAATAATCATCAAAGGGCACCATGTGACAGGTAAAAGGATCGGGGAGAATCTAATGTAATGATAATAAAAAAATCCTTCTGATATAATAGTACTCTAAAATACTTTGTTAGTTCTTATTTTGTACAGCATGTTTTTTTTCTTCAGACCTCTTCTATTTGAATAAGTAACAATTTTACCAACCAATGCAAAGCTGAAGCTCTTCTTCAAAGCTAACTGGCAATTCATATATCCAGCAATACACATCTCCAGATGATGACTTCTACAACCAGCAGAGGTAAACTGAATATAGTGAAGTTCAGTTAGGAAATTCTTGGAGGGAAACAGGTGCTTTTATTTGTTACAGCAGCTAAGGGGGAACCAAAGGAAGGAAATGAAGAGACAATTCACACTGACAAGGCACAAAACCAAGAAAGCTCTTTAGTAGTCAGTGCTAAGAATTGTATTAGAAACATAAGAACTGCCACAAACAAGGAATGAATGGGTGTTGAAGCACCCGAATACAACCGAGGGAGAAGGGCTGTAAGCATGGCAGATGTCCATAGCACTTAGTTCAGCAGATGTTAAAATCCTAGGATGCAGCTGCCTGAGGATTCTCACCATGCAGATCCATAGACAAACAACAGTGAGTCAGTCCTGACAACTCACCAAGGTGGGACAGGATGGAGAGACCAGTCACCCTCAGCTCCTAAAGCATGCAAAAAGGCATATCCAAAACCAGCACAGAGTCATCTAACCAAAAAAAAAAAATCAAGGACACATGATAAAGGCTGATCGACAGCATCTTTTATCCAGTGTCACCACAAGGAACCCTGCTCAGATCACCTGAATACACATTTTAGTGCTGGGATGCTGGACAGACCATTTGGCACGTATGAGAATGTGGGTTTGAAAGTGCATCTGAATTAATTTTGTTTAAAAATAAAACAATCTTTTCCTCCGGTAAGATTTTACCTCGTGCTTTGCTACCATGTTGCCACAATGTCGCAACATTATTTCCAGAGGGACCAAGAATTCAATGTCAAAACCCCCAAAATATGAAGAGGTGCTACAGTCAAAAATGACTTCCAAGGTGTGAAAGAGTGCAAGGAGGCTGGGTGTACTGTTCACAGTAAAAGATGTGTTGGGAAATAGCTACGGACATAGTCTTAACCACGCTGCATTAGAGAGAGTGAATATCTCTGAGTGTTAATGAGCAACATGCTTATTAATAAATGGGTTACTTGGAAGTCTTCAGCACAAAGGTGATAATTAGAGGAATAATCATATATAATCCCAATCAGGACTCTTTTAGATGACCTAGATCAGCATTTCTGACTGAAATTATCATTTGTAAAAGAAGATAAGAAAAGATGAATTTGCAGAAATGAGCACTGTAAAACCTAACAGGCACTTTCAGTCTCAAACAGTTGTCTTCCCTATGAGGAATGAAAAAGAGGCAGTTTATGCTTTTTACTTTGTTCCACTCTCCTTTGTAAAATTCCTCAATATTCTCTGCACTAAACTGAGAAGAAAAGGCAAGAGAAAAGTGGACGAGAAATTCCAATACCATGAATTAATATTCTAACTGTGCAAGAACAAATGGAAGATGATTCTACGAAGAGCCCCAGAACCCTGCTACTGTACATAAGAAGATACATATATTAATAACATCCCATTCACAAAATAATCATCTCCTATGAAAGAAAACTCTGAATATACTACAGATACTTTCATGTATAACTTAACTGACAAACACGTATCTACATGGAATGAACCACTCCATTGCCTGGGATTTTAGTTCAGTAACACAATTTACATCTAGCTAGTAGTAGATGAATATTAGCAATATTAAAAATTTCCCCAGTAATTAAGCATGTCTCCTACAGTTCTGAACAAGCCACCCTAGAAAGCACAACTGCCTCACCTAGAGAAAATGGGGGTCTCTGGACTGTGCCCTAAACTGCAAATTTTGTCAAAGCACTTTCCTGAGAACAGTATTCCCCATTTAATCCTTCAGTCTCTCAAAGCTGAAATGTGAGTACTATTAACAGAACCTCCTTACCGTGGCAACCAGAAAGCACCAAGGGAGCAAAGAGTGTTCTACAATTGTCAGACAAAAGCATGCAGTGACATAATAGCAATTACATAGGCAGTAGAGAAGTGGAAAGGAAGCACGATGGACTCAGTACAGCTCAAATTACACATTAACAAGTTGCTGCATTTTAGCTTTTAGTGTATGCTCCCAGACGACACCTACAGACAACCCCAAGAGTCTCATCTTTGATTAGGTCACCTAAGCCAGTTACTTCATTAGCGACCAATATGGAACTGCATTTGTAGCTGAAGAATGAGGTCTCTGTTAGACAATGCTATATACTTAGATCTTTCGAGCCAAAGCCAACAAGACAGACCTTAGTGTTGGCCAAATATCTAAGATCCAGCAACCTCTCTCTTCAGAAGCCCTTGTCATGATCACTTACAATAAGACTCTTAAGTGCCTGCGGCCAATTCTGAACATTGGAATTTGGCTCCCTCAATTCTCAGTAGTACACTTAAGGGCATCAAAGAAAGCTTAAGGGTTCGTAAACATTCTGCATGGCTCCTCAAGTCTCTGAATTCAAGCTCGGCTTCTCCACCTGTGACCATTTTACAGTAACATTCAGTGGCTGCACAGCAAAAAACCCTCCCCAAGCCCAAGGTATTTCCCCACAGAAATGAAACACATCAATAAAACAGACAATCAATTAGCACTGCCATCAGGCTTTCACAGTTTTTACAATTCCATATTGCCATTTACACATATATAATATATGATTACGATTATGCTTCCCAGTATAAATTTCTGCAAGAAACTAAGTTTAAGCTTCAAATACATGCAAGTGCTTTATGCACTAATGTTTTTAATTAGAAGACGTTGAAACGAGAAATATTTAAGCTCACCTACTGACAGAAGACGCCACATAACAGCCGGGGTAGCAAAGCAAGCAAACACATCATCAGTGCAGGCAAAGTGCGTGAGGTGGGGAAGGATCACGGACTGCCCACGGCACTGGCCCCACATGTACACTTGGCCACTCTGGGTCTTGGCAGCTGACGTGTGAGCAGAGTGGCAGGCAGCAATCTCTATAACTCTGAATTTACAAGCAAACAAATTAAAAAAGCAAGTCATTCTCATAAGAACAAAATGCAGTGAAGAAACTCACCACCTCCTGTCTTTCTCTAGTGCAAAATGTATTTGCAAGCACGCATGCACTTCCAATCTTGCAATTGTTTTCCAATGGTACATAGCAAAATTAAAAGGGCCATCAATATTTTTTCAAATAGTGTGCACTGAGAAAGTGAGAAAGCATCCTGGGAAGTAAGGAGACATTGTTGCAGCAGAGCAGCATTGCCTGCTGCAGCACATGCTGTACTGACCCCCTTGGCCCCCTCAGACATAGCTATGATGAGTTTTAAGTCTCTAAATGTTGTCAGTGGTGCTGGGCAGTGAGGTGAATGGTTGCAGTAAGCTGCAGAAAAGATACATCTTCTTGGAGAAGATGAAGAAGGAAATGAGGTATTTTTTAAAAGCAACAAACAACAAACAGGTATTTACATTTTGGCTATAATTGAAAATTAATGAAAAAATGTTTTCCTGCTTGCTTATTGGTAACAGTTATAAAACAAAAATTTAAACATACGTCAAATTAAAACACTGAAGTGTCATTACTCATACAATTATCATTACTTAAGTTTAATGGACTTTTATTCTGAAAATTTAAAATCAGAACCAAACAGCACTAAAATATTTTTCTAAGTGTATTTTAGCTAGGTTAGGCTATCTCACTAATCCTAATGCTGATTTGGGATTTCAAAACTCCCACGGGGATTACACAATCCACTGGTTTGCAGTCTGGACTACTGCTTGTTTACTTGTTTTCCCAGCTGCCTGGGGCTGGGAAAAAAAACTTGTTTAAAGCTGTATGTACAAATCTTGCAGGCTTTAGTGAGGTAATACCCTCACTGACACCAGGAATGCATATTCTGGCCACCAAAAGGGAAAGGCAGCATAGAATACCTTTCAATATATACATGTATTGAAATGTGGTAACAATTTAACTGCAGCTGAAGTGTCTAGAAAAAAATCAGTTACAGTGTAAGCAAAGCACAAACACATGAAGAAATATGCTCAGAACACACAAAGAAAAGCTCAACACCAGACCATGTCTCATCACCAGAGAGGAGTTGCTTCTTCCGTACAATAACTGACGCAAGTTTAGAGAGGGACATCTCACTTTTCTTATTATTCACAATATGAGGCCAAACTCAAGACCTCAGTAGTAAGGAACAGATTCAAATTTCTCGCCACATGAATGCATGGCTTTACATCAGCAATAGCAATAACTGCCCCACTAGCCATCAAGGTCTTACAGGAAAGTATTTAACTTGTAAAAATCTAAGCATGATTTTCAGGCAACAATACAAAGAGCGAGCTCCTCCCTTTTGCTCCATCTTGGGTTACGAGCCAGATTTAATAGCAGAAATAACACTAACTGCAGATGTCCACTCTTCAGTTTTTCTGTGTGCACTTCTTGTCAAAAGTAGCATATTAAACCGCAATTTTTATGCAGAGACAATAAAGCCTTTATTGCTGAATTCAAACAATGAAACTACACCACTGAAGAGAAACTGCAATTAAGACCTATACAGTACAGTATGAGCCGAAGCAGAAAATAACACATTCGGTCTCAGAACATTAAGTTTCTCTTTCACAAGGATGGTTATGGGGCAGACTTTCAGTGAAAATTCCATTCACATTTAGCAGAACTATTGTAAAACACGATAGGTTATTTTTTCCAAAAAATACATTAAAAATGACATAATTTTCTGTAGCTCTTCTGAGAGTATACCAACTGATATCTGACGGCGAGACTATAAGAATTACCTGTCTTTATCCACAGCAACTGTTATAGGGTAAGACTGGTTACTTTTGTTCCCAGTACCTAACTGGCCATATGAATTGGCCCCCCAGGCATAAATCTGACCTTCATCTGTTAGCACTAATGTATGTGCATAGCCACAGGCAACCTGTAAAGAATAATAAAAAGAAAAATCTCATTTTTATGTAACAGTAAGTTAATACAGATATACACATGCTATGCTATACATCAAGTGATTCTATACTAGTGTAAAAAATTACAAAAACTACAGATACAGATAAGTTTATTAAAAAGGGAAGCAAAGTAGATGAGGTGACTTTGAGGAAAAATGTATGAGGAACCCTGCCAGATGATCTCAGGAGTAAAGCAAAAGAATAGCTAGAAATTGAGATACAAGGGAAGTTATATGACAAATATGAACAGTATGAAGAAAAAAATGCAGAAAAAGGCAGACTGTCTTGCACTGACCTTGCTCTATGAGCAACTGCTCCAAAGCGAATAGCTTACCACTGTAAAAATAGGCAAGGTCTTCCTATCTGCTCCTCTCCTGCCTGCCAGCCACACTAAACTGCCCCCTCCCTGTGCTCACCAGATATTTTGTAAATAAGTGTAACAGCCACACAAGATCAAGACTAACCAAGGAATCTTACCAACTGTTGACCAAAAGCAGTTGGAAACAATTTGTTCAGACTCCAAAGACCAGTTAGTCACTGTGGCTGGAGTACGATTCTGAAAATGATACTCAGTCTGCCAGAAAGACAAAATGCTAAACTGCAACATCATCTCAAAAAAGAAGGGGTTAATTAAGAATGGGGCAGCCTATGAAGACTTTCTTATTTACTAAAATAACAGGATTTTTGTTTTTTTTTAATTTTTACATGACAAAAGGAAAGGAAAAAACATTTCCAATGGCCTAGTCCTATGTACGTAAAATCCTGAAGTCACAGAGAATAATGGCAAAATTCCTACTGAACTCCACAAGATCCCAGTTTCTCCCCTACTGAGAGAGTTCCATTTTAAGATACATGTTTCTATTCCTATAAACAGTGCTTCAAACAGAGAGATAAAAGATTATCTCCTTCAAACATAGCATATGTCTTGGCATGTATTCAATTGCTCCCAAAGAGTTTGACAAGGAGTGTCACACACATACCCGCTGTACACGAATGTCTTGCAAAGCTGCTATTCGGCATGGTGTTGGCTGATTGCCACTGCTGCCCAGTCCAAGCTGGCCATTACCATTATAACCCCAGACATAGACCTTAAAAACAGAGATAGGGATTTCAACTGTCTATGTTATTCTGCACCACAAATTTTGTATGCTATTGCTGTTTAAAATACCATCTGCATGCTCATCTAAAATTCTAAATTTCCATACTCATGTCGCTCTTTAAGAGTTGGATTATGTAAGACTACAATATTTTAATATGAAGAGTAGAAAATAAGTGATTCATATGGGTGTTTCCCAGCACAGAGCAAATTCAGCACAAATACTTCCCTTTTCCCAAGAGCTAAATTCTCATTCAAAAATCCTCTAAAAGAAAATACACCACCCTAATGGAGTACAAACTGTGAGCTATGCACAACAGTTTCAGTGGGCTGTTATTAGCTTTATGATGAACATAACAAAAAGCGAAAATACTGAGCTCTGATAATTTCAGTGACATATGTTCTACTGCAAACAGTCAATAGCTATTTAGGTATAAACTGAAATGCTTTGAGTGAGGATGTAGGCAGCCCAAAATCTTCAGTTCATATAAAGTAAAACAACAAGAACGCTACAACCCTCTTAGTATCTTTGCAATGAGGGTAAAATGCATGAGAGGAATTCAAGGGGTATTGCAGTAGAACAAATGTATGAAATGAACTTTTATTCTCTCTGTTTTCTTGAAGACAAACTGTGCATATATATTATATGCATATTAAAATAGCATTCACTGATTATTCTGACACTCTCAAGATTCTAGTATTGAAAATAATTTATTTTTCTATGAATGCAGCAGTGGGATAACATATTAATCAGCACTTGAATTTTTTGCTAGAATATACCAGCTCTTAAAATCAGTGATGCAAACTTAGTTATTTTCATATGAGAAAATGAAGCTATCATGAAATGCTAAGTGTACATGTAGATTCAATATGATTTAATCCCCAAATTTATAAAAGTCTCCTAACCTCCACAATACTGTTTTTAAATTTGATACTTGAATTCCTTCAACTCAAAGCCAACTTCGATAGCTGACACAAAGTAACAGCTGCTAGATTTTATGAGTAATCTCATACACCAAAAAGCCATAAATTACATGTCAGTGAACAACTTTCCCTATTTCATTCTACCTCCTTTCTAAATGAGAAACCATAATCAGCATGGCTAGGAAAGTGTGCTGAAGTACGTCAGAATGTATAGAACAATTTATGACAAAGGTTTTTACAAGCAGTATAAGGAGGTAGATTTGAAGGAATCTGGAAAGGTACACTTCTTTTCTGAGTAGTAGTTCATTACTGAAATGATCTAATTCCATGATATTACATCATACAAAATTAAGTCAGAAAGTTCACTTAAAATTTCTTACCTCTCCATTTTCCACCACAGCCATAGAGCACATTTGTCCACAAGCTATATTAACTACTATTTTGTTTTGTAGGCAGCTGGTAACTCTTCGAGGAATTGGTTGATTAGCTGTTGAACCTGATCCAACTTGGCCTGAGTTATTATAACCCCATGTGTATACCTGTTGTAAGAAAATTGTCATAAAAAATTACCATATAACAGTTCAAAGTACATATTCAAGAAATAAAAGTTATATGCATAAAAAAAAAAAAGCATTTTGAGTTAAAGTGGATGTATTCTTTTAAAGGCCTAGGAAGATACATAGGTTTACAATTTAGTTGTTTCCATCAAAAATATGCCACTTATAATATTTATATATTCTATTTTGTTCCTCCAACCAAATGTAAGAGGCAAGATGACAATTGAGTTAATCCAGGAAGAATTCTATTTTTCCAGAATCCAAAGTAAAATGGCTAACTGGACACTAATGGCATCTCAACTTAAATGACAGAAAACTTTTTACTTTGGTGGGCAGCAATCCTTACACGAATGTGATTTATATTTATGTCAGCTTTAACTCCACTAAGCATTTACAGTTTCGTATAGCATAGAAAGGAACCGGCTGCTCCCTACAAACACATTATGATTTGTTATTACAAGCAGATGTGGCATAAAAGTCAATGTTCTGCATACACTTAAAGCAGCTAGACCCTAACAGGTTTTCTATTTTTATCAAACATTTGTGTTGCTTAGCAATGCGTTAGCATTGTGAGGGTAACAAGAAGCAAGGTCTAATGCTCTAAGTGCAAAATATTTTCCTGTTTCTCACATATGTGAATTTCATTAAGAGAAAAAGAGATATTTATTCCAGCTATTCTCACCTCTCCATCAGATGTTAACACCATAGAATGGTGAGAGCCACAGGCAACTTCAATGACTTTCTTGTTCACCAAGTTAGTAGAGACTTGACATGGAATGAAACCATGATTTGTTGTACCATTGCCCAACTGACTATAAGCATTATGACCCCATGTATACACTTCTCCTTCTATAATAAAAATGTAAAAAGATGTTTTAAAATCTGTTTTTCCAATGAGTACACAACATAAAATTACAAACTGAGAAGTCAAATTCAATAACAATATGCCTATTTAACTGTGTATATATATATATAGATGTATGTATATGCCCTCTGGGGCTCTTAATCCCAGGAAAATACCCATACTACCTTCACATAGTGTTCACCACAAATCTAACAGGATAGTATCACCAGAATCTTAGTAAAGGAAAACATATAGCTAAAAGAAAGGAAATAGTGCAATACAGAAGAAAAAATGATATATGACAGTCAGGAGTCCCTATTTCCATTTCTTTGTAACTGACAAGAAAACAGAATTTCTTGTCTGCCCTGGTACTTTCTCAACTTTGGAAAATTCAAGTAACAAGCTTTCATTCCTTTAAAATATGTATGAGGATGCTTGTAAGAAAAACTTATTATTACTTATTAATAAACATAATAGTGTTTACTTATTATTTAAACATACTAGTTATGTTCTGTATTTTGAGAAACATGCTAGTAAAATTAAGAATGCATGAAATGTCTAACTCTGTTAGACTGATGGTCAACCTAGTGTAAAATTCTGTCTTCAACTAGCAGTAGAAAAAAGCTGCTGTTTAAGGCAAACATGAGCCTAGTCACTTTTTGCACTTCCAAGCATTTACAATCACTAGAGTACAGATATTACCAGGCACTTTTTATTCTCTTTTTTGTTCTTATATTGCCCTATTATCCATGAAGCTAACACCTTTTTGTACTCCCTTTCTTTCATTTGTTTAAAATGCAGTGTCCTCTAGTTACAGTGGTGCAGGACTTGACGAATAACTGTCTTACATTCATCTTGTCCATCACAATCATCATCCTAATTTCTAAACCTAGGTTATACTGTTATTGCAGGGGCTAGGTTTGACAGACAATTTCATCAGATTTCTAAAAAAGATCACCAAACTCCTGAATCCCTATGAAGGTTCCCTACTGCAAAGGCAAACTGTGCTCACTAAACCAGTATTTCTTTGCAATAACAGGTTAAATCTAATTACTTTTTCCTGTCAAAAGCAAAAAACCTTTCCTTCCTTTCACTGACATGGGAATACAAATTCCAGTAAACAGGTGAAACAGCCACATAGAAACATACAACATAAACTGGAGATGATAGTAATTAACACAAGGATTGTGAAATATGTAATGGCTGTCTGAAAAGTAGGTTAAAAGAGGCGGAATAGAAGTTATTCGTGGGATGGAGTTATGAGTAAAAATCATCAAGGATCAGTTTTGGATGTGTTCTTTTGCAATAATTCATTATCTGGGAAAGGACTATGAGTGTGTCAGTGAGATCTGCCAGCAGGAAAGCTCAGAAGAATTCAGATACATCTATAAAAAGCATCTAGAACGGTCTACTCTTAAGACTGCAAAAAATAGTGGAATGTAACTGAATATAAATAATAGTCACACCTGTACAACACAGCTCCCCTCACCTATCTTAGGTCATCTAATCTAGACTATCAAAAAGATTTCTTCTCATTAACAGAGAAAGAGACAAACGTTAACATAATCAGGCAGGCTCTAACAGAACATCACTTGGAACTCAGTATTAGTTATTTGTCTTCCAGAATAACATACTTAATTATGAACAGAAGGGCCACTAGTACGATGTTGATAATAGAGTGTCAACAAGACAACACAAAACAAAAGGTTAAGAGGCAACATAACTGGTCTCACACCCAAAAGCACAGGAAAGAAAAGGCACAGGAGAGAAAAGATGCATTTTAGCTAAAGGACACTGTTGGCACATATAATGTAGCCACTAAAGCATTTCAAAAGCAATCAGAAGTTCCAAACTTAACTGCAAAGTAAAGAAAACTTCCAAAATTAGCAAAAAGAACAAAGCAGAGCTTGATAAACTTTTGAAAAGAACTACCTATGAACAGAGCTAGCTGACGTGTCATATTCACCATGTAAACATGTTGGACTTGACAGCCAGGAATGTCTATCCCATTTCTCTCTCTTATGTTACCAGCACAGTCCTTCCCCATCTGCTGGACTAACTAAAGTGGACTATCTGAAATACAGAAATATATATTCAGATCATACTTTACCTTCTGTAGCAAGAACTACATGAGGGCCACTTCCATAACTCAGACAGGCTATCTTTTTGCCACATAGAGAATCTAACCTCCTTGGTTCAATAGTGCTCTGCATGTCACCTGTTCCCAAACACCCACTGCAGTTCATGCCAAGCACAAAAACCTGTTAGAAAAGAATCATAGAATCATAATTTAGGATGGAATGGAGGATGTCCTCCAAAGGACATCTAGTCCAACTCCTTGCTCAACAAAGGTTTAAATAGATCAGATGACTCAAGAAAATGGCCAGTCAATCAAGTCTCCAAGGAAAGATCTCACAACCCCGCCAGAATTTAACCACTCACATGGTAAATTCTTTTTTCCACTGCCTCTCATCCTGTCCCTATGCACCTTCACAATGTCTGACTCCATCTTCTCTTTATCCTCTGATTGTGGTAGGAAGCCATTAATTTGAATTGGAAATATTTTGCTAGCAATCAGACATTTTAGCATGCAACTTTTTCTAGTTATACTATCATAGTACTGGCTTTCAGAGTAACTTTATGCATAAATGATAAGTATGTCACGTTCATATATACTCTTGGATAATTACCTCATCATTTTCAGTTGCATACAACACCTCATTACCAGCACTACCAAATACACAGGCTTGACGAATTAACTTGAGCTCTTCTTGAGAACAGAGAGAAAAAATCGGCCATTTCCCAACATCCAGCATCTTCAGGGCTGACAGTAGTGTTGCTTCCAAGACCTGATATTATAAAAAATGACATCTAGACAGAGATAAAAACATACGTTTGGACAGTAAAAAGTGATTTTTTTTTTTTTTTAAAGAGAGAAACACCATTCTCTTTCTCAAGCACAAACCAGTATTTTAATTCTAGAACTATACTTGGGAAGCCATTAAAATAAATGAATACATTGTGATCCAGAAAGAAAGGACCTATATGCATGGAAAAAATTACCATATAACAAGTTAAAGGATGAGGTCATGTTTTCAATGTATCCATACAACATAACTGATAACTTATAGAATTGAATTTACAGGATTCTAATACAGAGTGCAAAGTATACATTAAAAACTTGAAATTATTGTGCGTCTTCTTCCTCAGGTGCTAAAATTACTGTTAAAAGAAGAAACCATAATAAAGTCTTCCCAAGAACATACTTATTTTTGAAAAATACACACTTTTTTCACACAGTGAAAATGGAAACTTGAGAAAATGTTTCCTTTCTCCTTTATTTTTGAAACTGTGTTTCAACAATAATTGAATCTTTGGGAACTTCCTAAGAATATTTGCATTTTATGTAAGTAGACATGTAATAAAAGAAAGAAGATAATTACACATTTCCCAGCTTATCCAAGGACCAATGACAAGTTTCTAATTAAAGGAAAAGAATAACGGGTCTCTTCAGTTATTAAAACTAGTCAAGCTAATGTCTGAATCTCATGCAACATTTCTACTGTTTTAGTATATCATAAATCAGAAAAAAAATGGTGCAGTATCAAAATTTAATAGCAAAATTTTCATGGGGCATGCATCCAATTATCTTTTCTGAAATTAAAACAGGCTCTGAACATGAAAAAAAATAGCAGCGTTACTTGCCAGATCAGAAGGTTAAGTGCAGGACAGTAAAGTAAGAATAGGTTCTGCCTATCACAGGCATTACATAGTTCACCGTGTAACAGTGAGGACTGCATCATTAGTTTATTTCTAGCAAGTACCAGACTTACAAAATGGTCTGCTTACAGAGCGTAATTTTTTCTGCCTCTGAAACAAAGATGTGAATAAAGTCTAGCTTGGAGTCTGAAGCATGTTATGTCAGTAGTAAGGATACTGCTTTTTTGATTAGTACCACTTACTGCGAAAAAATGTGCACAGAAACATAGATAACGTTTTAAACTTCAGACATTAACCCTAAATTAATCCCAAATTAAAATCTTTACACAAATAGCAGTTAATCACACATTTCTTTATATATAATTCTGAGGAACAGAAAGGCGGGTTGGTCATCACTAAAGAAAAGTTGCGGTTTTGATCACACCAGTTCTTTCCCCATCATCCACACACCAAGTAACTGACCAATTTCAGCCAAATTTGTAAGCGAAAGGGAAGTAAGATTCCGCTGACACAATCTATTTGGCAGTAGACAGCTGGCCAATCAGACATGTATGTTATGAAATAAGTCAGGAAGCGAGTAGGTCAAAGCTAGTTCTAGCACATGCCGTCTTCTACGACACATAGCATGGTTATGAGAGACAAAGGACATGAATCTGTATGGAATCAGGCTTCATTCATCTGGTGTTTGTAGAACAATGTTTTATATCAATAGGTTAGCATTAATTTTATGGAGGATTTTAGGCACTTCTAAATTATGATAATGAATACTGAAAGCATCACAGACTGCTCTTCCAATTGCATCAACAAAACTGCATTCCACTTTTGCTCAAGACTCATGAAGCCTGAGGTTCAAAAGGACAGTCAGGGTGCCCTTCAGTTGTACAGATTCCCTTAGTGGAATAACATACTGGGTCTAAAATGTGGGCTTTAAATTCCAAGCGCACAGTAGGTCAGAACCCATTCATCTTGAACAGGAAAGTTTTTCTCTGTAACCTCCTTCTTCAAAGCATTTGTGTTCTACTCTCATAATTAACATGTTAAAAAAAAAACCAAACCCAAACTGTAACATCTCTCAACACTAAAATACTACACTGAAAGAAAAAAAAACAAACTACCATTATTAAAAGCAACCAAGGAAACACCTTTTTTTTTGTTTTTTTTTTAAACAGAAGAAATAATCACAAACTTTATCAGACTAAAAAATTTCCATAACTTACCTCCAGTCTCTGGAGTTATTAGTTACATTCAACTCAGTAACAAATACTCTCTCACCTTTCAAGATTTTCTTCTCTCACATTTCTCCATTATATTTTGTCCAGTATGTGTTTATATATATATATATATATATCAACCCCAAACATTGGACTATCAGCCTGCCAATATTTATGTCCCATAAGTGATCAGTTCCCTCATTATATTACACAAACTCATTAAAGACAGAGACCAGAATCTGAGATTTCATCTGGCCCAGTTACCCCACAGGTTTCTCAGTTACACCTCAAGAAACTTCTTCATTTCATCTGACCTCAGCAATCAGTTTGAAAGCTGGTCATTCAGTTTTATTTGTCATACAAATCACCTTAAAAGGCATTATCATTAAGCTTAAAATCTGAATGATGTTTCATTAAGTTTTACATGCAAAGTGTTCAAAGAAAATAGAAAAATGAGAGGAAGTTTTTGCCTCAAATTCTGCTACAAAACTTAATTCTAACAAGTTTATGTTATTGAAACATTAGGCTGCAACATCTAAATTTAGAAATTAATACTAAGTTAAATCAGCCTTGTAAGCCAAAGGAGCAATTCAACCCAATTAAACCAAACATATTGTTCTTCTAATATTATGTGGATCGCATAAGTAACATTTCTTTTTCTAGTATAATTTTTCTATCTATAGCTTTGGTTTTCTGCTTATCTTGACAGCTACTAGCATGTAGTAATCTACTGCCAAATGGAACAAAGCTTATTTCTTTTGGATACAGCAGTACAAAATTCTCAGTACAAAATCAAACTCTGACCTTGACACTGATTCCTTGAGGAGGAGACTCATCCTCCATACGGATTTGTGCTTGTGTCACCCTGCAGAGAGAGAACTGTGGTTAAAATCACCGTATCAAATTGTTGCAACAATACTTTATGGAACTATACACAATACTAAAGTCAGAACTAGTTGCTTCTGTGGGGTGAGAAAACAATAAACACAAAGGTCACTCAATTTTGGTTTTGTATTCAATTGTCAAGTGATCAGTTAGACTCTGCTCTTCCGTTTTCTTACCTCAAATAATAATTCTTGGGCAAAACATTTTTATTTTTTTAAACTAAACAGACTGTGATTGGAAAGGAAGAAGTTTTATTAAACACAATACTCCAATGTCCTTTTATTGCAGTAAAAATAAATTTAGAACCTTGCTGACATAATTTTAAAAGATTTATTTCAGAAAAAAAAAGCAGCACACTGGTTGGAGCTTTCTGTTTCTGGCTTAAACCTTCAAATGCTTTTCTTACAGTTCCATTCTGAAAACTAATGTTAGAAAAACATTTGGGTCTTTTCAGGTTTACTGAGAATTGTTAAAATATTCACTCTGCTTCAGAAAATACTGCCAGCCTTGTAAATTACTTGAATAATATCTAGGATGTGCATTATCAATAGAAACAGATTTTCAGATCAGATGTACAATTAAGTATCTAGACAGCATATTCTGGGCAGTCTGAGTTTAGGTCATGGGATCTGAAAGTTCTAACCCTGGTTTTGATTCAACTATGGCAGGTCTTTGGGTAAGGGACATATATTTCTATGGTATAGATAAGATTGAGTTAAGGAACACAAATACTAGTTCTAATAGCCAAGTTCTACTAGCAGTTTAAGACTATTTAATCCTAAATATTTAAACAGGTTCACTGACTCATTCAAATGTAAACATTCTTGTAGAGTCTCTCTAGGAACTTGGCAGGCAAACAAAAATTTTCAGAACTCCACTCAGTATTTCCTCCCACTTAATCTGAGCGTTCACGAATTTCATCTGCTGAATCAAAGGTCTGTCTGGAGCTTCTTCTTCAAGGACTCTAACCATAGGCTTAGCAAAGATCAAGAAGAAAAAGTCACAGAAAAGAGGGATTTGCTGACACCTTTATGAAAGAAATCTAACCTGATATTTGTGATTTGCCAGCAGTTTCCCACAAGAGTAGTCATTAAATGATGCTAACTTATCAAAGTGATCTTGCACAGGAGGAGAGACCAGTAATATCGTCAACAGTTATTCCTATTGAACACGTCACATTCCCTCACTAGGAAGACTGGTTTCAAAATGATCTTCCTTCTCTATATTCACATTGAAATGTCACTACTCTGTCCAGTGCTGACGATTAATTGACAGAACTCAGCTCGTCATTCATTATTACATTGATGCAGCATTTTCCATTACCAAGAAACTTCGGACCTAGAGAAACAGTAAGTGGTTGCTTGAAAAACTGCCAACTCCAACTCAAGTGTAGCCTTCTCCCCTTCTTGCTTCTTGACATTAGAATGTGACTTCTCAGCTCCTGATGCAAGCTGTACTGGCTGTCTACTAATTGCAAGAGCAAATCTGCATGCAATTTAAAGGTTAGAGCAAAGAAATTCTGAAAGACTGGAGTATTTACAGTCTGAAAGACTGCCATCCCTGACCATGCAATGTAGGTAACTGTTACAGAAATTTCTAATTCAAAAGATCTAAGACAGCTTTATTGTCTCGATCTCCACAGAGACAAAACTTTAGTCAAAAGCATTTTGTCAGATGCCACCTCTCTCTTGGCATGACATCCAACTCCACCTGTTGGCTCCAGGGATGGACCTTCAGCATAACCCCACTGAAGTTTTCAGAGGTTCATCTACATGCAGTTTGCTGTATTGGAGCTAAATGCTTGAAACCTACTTGCAAAGGCCTTACATCATCACCCTCAAAAAGAAATGGGTTATCAGGAACAAAAGCTATGAAAGCTAAGATGCAAGCAACACATGGAAGAAAACATAAGCAAATTAAAAGCAAGGAAGATAGTAGGAATATTGTTCTGTTACCCATACTTAGCACCATGCTTCAATACCACTGTGATAAAGAGCAAATACATCAGGAAAAACTTTCTGAAAGAGGTGAGAAGGCAGGAAAGAAAACAGAGGGCATGATTTTTCAATTCTCTGATGGTTTAAAATAAGTGTTAGGGTCTGGTGTGAAATTTGTGCCCTAAGTGACAAAACTGCTTTGAAAAAATCATATGTAGATTCCTGGGACACCTTCCCCTAGCCTTCAAAAAAACCCCACTGTGGGGTTTTGGGCTAGCAAAATAATTTGACTAATTAGATTTTTATAAAATCATCTATGACTTTCAAAAGTAATGGTAAGGCACACTGCTCATACTAAGTTTCTTTATTTCCCCTATTCCTATTACTTTATTTCTCCTATTCCTTCTTTTCTGTTTTGAATTGATGTCTATCATCGTCACTAATGTACAACAGTGTATGGTTTACCAGCGAGCAATGAGTGGAAGTGACTGAAAAAATGCATCATCACAGAGAAAATGTTTATAGCAGAATTAAAAAAGAATCTCAAATTCTTTTCTCATTCTATAAACCCTACAGTCACCCTGAAAAAATAATTTCAAAGCTTTGGCTATCCATTTATGTGACTGACACAAACCAGTAGATTGGAATAAAAGTACTAACAGCTATCAAGAGAAACTATATAACAAACTAATGAAAGCCAGAAAGACAAAGGCTAGAAAAGAATAATGAAGTTTATACCAAAATTATATCTCTAATAGACTTACTGAAATGTCAAGGTCAGCAGCTACAAAAGCCCGATAAGATGTTGATAAAAAATATTTTTTCTTAAAAATATTTACACTTCTTATACACAAGCACAAAAATACCTTTGGAAAGCAATCAAGTGTTTCAGATCATGAAAACAAAGCAACAACTACCTTTAGTGCTGCAAAGCATTATAGGAGGAAGCTGGAGTCATTTGCACATAATTAGTGGCTTACTTGTGCAGTAAAATTAAAAAAAAAAAAAAAAAGGGCATTATCTCCAGACTTGAAGGGTATTAAAATAATCAAATACTTTTTTAGACAGTCTCTTGGGAACAGGATGTCATCCCTGCACCTAAATCTAAGCTAATGTAATCTAATGTAACCAACTCTAACCTGAGCTGCTGAAGGAAAACATTTTTTGCATTTTTTAATGTGGCTGATCCCGGATTTTCAGAAAATTGACTTGAAAAGCTCTTTCTCTTTGTTGAATTGTTAGACAAACTCTAAACACACGCAGGTTCCTGTAATCCGTGCATACACACAAACATAATAAAATACAACTGATGCAATTGTTAGCTCTTGTTGATTTTAAATGCTACATAAAATTTAATTTACCATAAAATTTATTTGGTAGAATTTAAACATATTCTACTCCTTCATTTGACCTTCTGACATGAGAATTCAAGGAATCAGCTTTAGGGAGACAAAAGTATTCCAAAGATCTGGTCTTAAAAGAACTTTATTAAAAATATTAACCATGTAATAGAGGAAAGTAACTCCAAATAATGCAATAAATATGTGAAAGACTGAGCTATTAAATTTTTATAAACTTCAAGAATCCCACCTGCGTGTGGGAACCTGCCTGGACATCAGTTCAATGCCATACGAACAGTATGTTTGGGAAGAAGCCTTCTGTTACTATGTAATCCTAAATACTATGCTGCATTAACAGATAACCAGTATACAAATGCACTCATTTTGTTATGCCCCCTCTAAGTTGATCTCACCTACCCTAGATTGTTAGCAGTCTGCAGTTATCTGATGCAGTCAGACACTGAGCCATGCATCAGGTTGGATCTTTGATCTCAGTCTGCTCTAGCTAGAAAGAAATATTTACAGCTTGTGCAAGTTCTAATTTTTAATCACTTCCTTAGATGTCCAAGGAAGGTCATTCTAGCCTCATTTGGACTAAATCCTTAATTTATAAAATGTATCTTCTAAAACATTCTAAGCCTTAGTAAAAGAACTAAAGATAAGCATTACTAAGGCACATCCGTTTTTTTTCTACATTCCTCGCTTGCTTCAGTTTAGCCCAGCTTTCCAGCACATAGAAGATGTGGTCCATGATAAGGGCTCTTGCCTACAGTTGAGAGCACTATGTGATGGGTCACCAAAAGAAGAGGTTTTTCAAGGTGATATCTAGCATGGTTCCAGCATGAATCTGGCTGTAGCTATGTGTCCCTGTAACATCAGGCACTTGCCGGAGCACCTCCCACGAAGCCAGCATGCAATGCCTAGGCAGAAGGGAGCACAGTGCAATCCTTCCCTGATGCAAGTCAGAATTTGCCTAGGTATATACATCAAACACATATATCAATATGGATCTAAAAATAAGTAAATAAATAGATAAATAAATAAATAAAACACACACAACACATATTCTATGCCCGGACTGAGAAATACGGTAGTTTAAACTTTTATAGTTATAGGTGTCTGCATAAAAAGATACTTTATGTTAAGAAGCGAGAGATACAATAGTAAATAGAATATGAAAGAAAAGTTAGTCCACTTCCTCTGTGAGCAGATGTGTGTAACTCTCTGAGGATTTCTTTAACAGTCTTCTGATACTGGAACTGCCCAATGATTAGTGGCAAGAGCACTGGATTAGATGTAACGCATACAGGTTTCCCAACTCTTAAAAAAACAATTAAGAGACAAAATATTAATCTTTATGGTATAAGTTTAAGCATTCAATATTAAATCTACCCACTGGAACAGCCTCATCCAAACTGCAACAAACCATATGCATAATGCTGCCAAGGTTTTTACCTTTTTACCTCAACCTTATCACTCGGTCTTCTACTTTTTACTTACATGGTTAAAGAAGCTTTAAAAACCAATTGCCTATAACTAACTCAGAATTACTTTTGTCAGTTGCCACCTTAGAACTGTGTTTTATCTCTTACACTTTTCTTTGCTTTTCCATCCCTTTTCTAGCCTTTATTCCTAAAATCCTTTTTCATCAGGGTAAAACTTCTTTTCAATAGATCTTTCCTCATTTTTTTTTTTAATATAAATTCACAATAGATTCTAGGTTTGGCATAAAACTACTCCATTCCTTCTCTCCTTCTAGGGCCCTCAGGACTCCTGTACAAACATACATCACTAATTAATCCTCTTGATTTTTTAAAGTTTGCCCTTGTAAAATTGAGCATCTCAATCCTGTCTCCATTTAGCCCTCTATTTTTTCCTATTTATTTAATCTAATTAATAATGTGATTTAAGGTCACAAGCTGACTAATAAACCAGGTCACCTCAGAATTTTTCACTCC